TTGGGGGGCAGAAATCTGTTTTTCTGCTGCTCAGTTTGCTGGAAATATGAGATGGTTTGGAACAATGAGTGTGATTTGTGGGTAATTTCCGTCCAGCTCTAGAAGAAGCTACAAAAGCCATCAATAATACTGTGGTTTTGTTTTTTCTTGTTTATTCTACAGACTGAGGAAAGGAGGAAAATAGATGAGCTGATTACAAGTGGGAAGGAAGAAGGGATGAAGGTAACTGCAGTGCCAACCTAAGTGGTCATGTATTGTTTATTACACAGTATCTTGATGTTAATCTGTTTAAACAGAGTGGCAGAACTCAGTCTCAGGACCCTGCAATTCTCTGGAAATGAAAACTGGAACACACAGTCCCTCCTTTTAGTGAGCAGTGTTGGTGTCTGAAGGCTGTGTCTGTGCAGCCTCAGTTATAAATACTGAGGGGGCTTTAAGGTCTTTACAGAAATGCACTCCCGAGTTCTTTGATTGGAAGATTTTGTGTCCAGCTACCCAGTAACTCACTGTGTCCCAAACTCATCCTGCATTTCTTCCACAGTGCCATGCATTGTGCTTCTACAGCTTTGTGTGCAGAACACACAAATTCCCTTTTGCAGCAGTTTTTTAATGACAAACCATTTCCTAGTAATCAGCATATCTGCAATGATGTAAATCAGCTGGGAAATGAGGAAGTATTCTCTTTTCAACTCAACAGATTGATTACATTGATGGCAAGGGGAGAGGAGTAATTGCTACTAAACATTTTAATCGAGGGGAATTTGTGGTTGAATATCACGGGGATCTCATCGAGATCACCGATGCCAAGAAACGAGAGGCTGTGTATGCTCAAGACCCATCCACAGGCTGCTACATGTACTATTTCCAGTACCTCAGCAAAACCTACTGGTAAGCTCAAGTTTCCATTGATAGAGGCTTTGAATGCTGCTAATTCTTTTATTGTTTTCATGCAAATTTTTTGTTTTTAATGGGAACTTTGAATTATGAAATCTTTTGGAGCACTGATCCATGGTCTGAGAGCCTCCTGTACATCTGGGCTATGAGGAATGGTAGGTGACTCAAAGCCCTCTTCTTTGAAGTACAGCACAAGCTATGTGGAGAGTTGCTCTGCTTGGATGAGGCTTGTACTTCTGCAGTGGTCTTCTGCCTAAATTTATCCTCTTGTAAAATGGACTCCTTTAGCTGAGTTGCAAGGAGTTGGTTTGGGAAGCAGGATGGACAGACTCCCTGGAAGAGAAATGTTTCTTTCAACTTTGACTGGGTGTCCGTGTTGCTCTAGTCTCTGACACCCACTTCAGCCTAAGCTTTATAACTTTTTTCACATCTGGATTCTGCTATTCCTGGAAACAGACAGCTCAAACAGTCCAAAGATTTCATTTTCTGCGTTTTGTACCAACTTAAAAATCTCCCAGATGTGTTTCAGTTTCCCTGCCTTGCCATATTATGGCTGTCTACTTAATCATGGTTCTGTAATGCAACATGATAACATTCTGTTTCTCCTCCATTTTTCAAGACTTGTGTGCATTCATCCTTGGTGTGATTTGCATTTTGGGCTTTGCCCCCAAAGCCCCGTCCCAGGCACAATCCGCCTTCTGTTCTTGCTCTTTCAGTGTCGATGCTACAAAAGAAACGAATCGCCTGGGGAGGCTCATTAATCACAGCAAGTGTGGCAATTGTCAGACCAAGCTCCACGACATCGATGGTGTGCCTCATCTCATCCTCATAGCTTCCAGGGACATTAAGGCAGGTGAAGAACTGTTGTACGACTACGGAGACAGAAGCAAAGCTTCCATTGAAGCTCACCCGTGGCTGAAACACTAATTCATCTTCTTGTTTTGGGGTTTTTGTTTTTGGACTGAGTGTTCTACAAGGAGTCAGTGCATTTTTTTTTTTTTTTCCTGCCCTCACTTCCCTCAGCTTTCTTAGTGGATGGCTTATGGTCTTCCGAGCTCCTTAAAAACTGCCTTTTTGCTTTGCAGTATTTAAATACCTATTACAGTTTTCCAGGCAGGCTTGAATAATTGATCTTAGATTGCCAAAACTTTAATATCATAAAAGAAAAACCCTCCTTAAAATTCGAGTGCTTCTGCATAGTGACCAGTGCCACTTGAGCAGCGAAAGACTTGCACAGAAATTTAATCACTGGGGTTGTGCTTCTGCTTTTGCAAGGAAATCTCACGCCCCGCTTCGGGGTGCTGAACTTGGCTTTATGACAGAAGTACTGCTGTACTCTGACTTGGTCATCCAGTGGCTTGACTGCCTGTCAGACTGTTTTTCACAGCCCAGTGCTGACAGGCTTCTCTGAGATGGATGCTACTGTCATTCTCAAATAATTTGTGGTAGGAATCCAGTTTCTCCTGTGTCATACATTCTGTTGGCAGTGAACTTCAAATGCACTGGCACTGAGGGAAAAGGATGGTCAGATTGACTGCTTCCTTTGGAGAAATTACTTCCAGCCAAATGAGGATAAATTTTGATAAGACTGGGTTGATACTGATTACAGATGTGAAGATAGAACTTCACAGTGAGAATTAATATTTGACATTTACTTATTTTCTAAACTTTGAGAAGGTACCTTTTTTACAGTCGATGGCTGATTCTTGGAAGTGTCTCCCAGAGGATTTTAAAGAAGTAAAACCTGTCTCCAAAAAGATTTTATATTACCTTCCTATGCTAATTAGCCACATCAGAAGCTATTTATTTACTGTGAATGCTTGAAGTAGAGCATAGTGGTTCCAAAAATAGGAGTCATCTTCATATGCAGCTTCAAACTGTAGTGATGGAGTTCATGCAGTGAAGAAAGTAGATTCCTTATTGCCTGGTCCTGTAGGTCTGTCCAGCACAGCCTGGTCCCACTGTCTCACATGGGAGTCGAGCTCTTGGCATCTTGTGGATGTTTGGATGTTTCTGTTGGAGAGCCAAATCTGGGATATAGGCAGGCAATACAATGCAGGTCCTTTATGTTAAAGAGGAATTCTTATCAGTTGGAATTTTTGCCAAGGCAGGCTTGGCATGTGTGTAGATGAAAATGGCTGTGAGCCATCAGCCACGCTTGCTGCTGGAAGATGTCAGCAAGGGATCTGTGGCTCTGTTAATGTCTTCTATTCCTCATGTCTTGAAGGCTGCTGCTGTTCCAGCTGAATGCCCTCTAGACAATCTTATGCTTGCCTATGTGATAGGTCAGATAGCAACAACATCCTGGTTGTGTGCTCCAGCAGCAAGAGAGGTGGCTTAGTGATGTATTTTTTAAATTAAAAACTTGAAGACAATGTCTCTGTAAAATAAAGATTATATTTATTATTGATGAAACGGCTGCTATACTACCTGTCTCCATTGCAGTTTTATGAGCATTTTGAAAGAAAGCTGTGAAAATCATTAGCTGTTAAATGCTTTATATTATTTACTGCTTCACACAAGGCAAACTCGTCAGAGCAAGCCCTGGGTATTTTCCCATTTCTGAAGAATTAACTGGAGACCTGTTACATTACATGTACTGAGTTTCAGGTAAGCCTCACTGGTAAACTTGTCTGAGTTGGCACTGATTTTTCTCTGGTCTCAGTAACAGAGACCTCAGCAATGTGTACAGTGTCCTGTTAAACTAGAGCACTTCCCATAAGTCAAAGTTGGAATAATTTTTTTTTAAATTTTATTTAAACAATTACGTGTTCTCTATCAGGTTGAATAGTTTAAAACCTCTGTACTTCAGCATCACTTTTGTAAACAAGAAAGGGGGAAGAGCTCCCTGTTTTACATAAAAAGAAAATGTCTTCTCTGAAAGCTTAACTGGTAATTGAGTAGCACTGCGTTGGAGGATGGAAATAAAGCTCATGTTGCACTGCATCTGTATCCTTTACTTTTCTAGGCACACATACAGAGATCTAGAGATTTATCTCTGTATTTCTCACAGCAATCTGTCATTTGGGTGTTTATCTCTGTGCCTCACAGGAAGGCTTCATCTTCTAACAAGGTGTCACAGGGAAAGATACCCTTGGGTTGGGAGCTAAACTGCTTTTTTTTTTTTTAAAGGAGATTGGAAAATACATGCCTGGATAAGCCATAGAAGAGGATGGAATTCAGATCACATGTAAGCACCTCTCTTCAGCTCAGAGGTGCATCCTGGCTCTTGCTGATTGATTGTTTAGTTTCATTTTTTTTCTCTGCCCAAAGCCTCTGCTCAGGCCGTGCAGTAGCTGCCTTCCCTGCTGCCATGCTCTGGACAATACACAATGAGGGCATGGCCAAGGCTTATTGATATTTTGAAGATGGCAAAAGGGACTTGAGTGGTTCTGTGCCCTGGCTAAAGCAGCTGGCTCAGCTCAGCCACCTGTGGCGTGGCCTTGCTAAGAGCCAGCTGTTCCTGGCCTGGGAAGGGAGGCTGCAGCTCTGCCTTCTGCTGAGCCCATCCACATGGTGCAGCTGAGCACGTGTGTCAAGTGCCCTATATTTTTCATGCTGCCAGTGTAGGAGAGGGAATCAAAAGACTTCAGAGCCTGCTTTTATTTCTGAAGTGAGTAAGATCACAGTTTGATACCTGTCACTGCTTCTTTTATGTCTGTTCAGACTTCTGCTCTGGATATTCTACCTTTCTAAATGGAGAACCTAATTGGTGTCTTTCAAGCTTCTTTTCCCACTCCTCTGTTTGCCCTATATGCTTCCACTGGTGCTAAATCTCATTACTGGGGCCAATACACAGCTTGTGGCAGGTGACTGAAAGAACAGAGCTTATGCAAAACAACTCCCTACCACAGGAGACCTTCAGCTGTCAGCAATGAAATGTTTGGTGCATCTGTTCCAGTCTGAGCAGTTGCAGCAGCTTTTCTTCCATTGCTGTGCTTTCTTCCACTGTTCATCTCACCCCCAAAACAACCAATTGTGAATGGCATATCTCTATTACCTTCATCTTACAAAATCATTTGGGCTGAATGTTTTGATAGCAGGACAGGATAAGTATGCTGTAGTACAGATCATCACAGGCACTTTTAATAAGAATAAACCCCAGCTTTGTATAAACATTTTATTTTCTACACGTGGATCATGTCTGACAGTAAGAAATACAAAAAGTGTCTGTTTCAAACAGTTTCTGAAAAAGCAGAGTAAAATCTATTCTGAAAGAATATTATACAACATAATTTTAATGAGATTGCTCATTCTCTACAGTAGGAGTGATGCTGCTGCTTCCAGTCATTGTCTTTCCCAGTGCCATTCTCAAAAGCAGCAAAGTCCTTGAGGATGCTCATTTTCCATGTTTAAAAGAAAACCTAAAAAAAGAGAAATCAATAGCAGAAAGGAAACAATAATGTACAACTGGAAAACAAGGAACAGGCAGGGAGCTGGCCCTGTCAATGTGCTATTTTGGGGGACTTTAGGGACAGAGCCTGAGCTTGTGGGTTTTGTGTACAATGTAAACAAAGCCTGGGGCCAGCTGGGGAGCTCCCACAGCACAGCCCTGAGGGGCTGGCAGAGGAGGCAAGTATTGAATCATTTTGCTCAGGAATCTTATTTTTCCGAGGAAAAAAGTGACTCCCTGCTTGCCTGGGTGGAGGTGGCTTTCCTGTGCAGTGCTTTTTCCCCAGGAAGAGATTGCTTTATCAGGTTTTTAACTTTACATGGAGAGCAGCAAACAATACCCAGCCAACCAGGCTAAAGTTCAGCATCCACCCCTGGATTCACTGTGTAAGGAGTGGGCCATGTTCTCACAAATTCTGCCCCAAAAGCTGCAGACAAACTTACAGCCTTTTGATGATTGTCTTCTCTTCACTGTTCTTTCTGGTGCCAGCACTGCTGCCACTGGCTTCTTTGTCCAGTTCTTCAGTTTGGTCCCTTTTCTGTGAGATGATCCCACTGGGAAAATAAACGGTTTTGTTTATTTTTTGTGGGTTTGTGCAGAGTGTGACAGTGCATGAGTTAGACCTCTCACTGGACAGGGGTGAATGAGTGTTCACAGGACAGGGATGGCAGCTTGCTTGTACTGAACTGAAAATAATGAATTATTATCCCTAAATACAGCAATGTAATGGTGCCAGGATTATGCTTAGAACACTAAAAAAGTAACAAGCTGATTTCTCCACAGAGAAAAAATTAGAACACTAAAAAAGTAACAAGCTGACTTTGGCAAATCATAATGGGGGTGAAAGGGAAGTGTAATCACACTTGGATTTGTACAAAAGTCCAAGGGTAGGAGGATGGTGTGGACACAAATTTCTGCAGGGGTGAATTTCTGCAGGGGTGAATTTCTGCAGGGGTGGATGTGTGGTACCTCCAGCGCAGCCACCCAGGCTCACACCAGGCCTGGGAACAGATGGGAGATTCCCAGCTCCCCTGTTCCTCTTTCCACCCTGCAGAGGAGAGAAGAAAGGCTTTGCCTCAGCTCTAGATTTCAGCACCTCACATCGGTGTTTCTACACTCCAGAAGCTGTAACCGCCTACTCCAGGCAGCAGTTTTGGTTTGACCAAAGGGTGTTTTCCCTGCCTGGAACAGGGTGAGATTTTCCCAGCCTGCACACTCAGTGTTTTCACAGCGTGTCCTGAGCTGACCTCAGTCATTTGGAGAGCTCAGTGGATCAAAGCCTGTGACTGCAGGCGAAGAGTAGCCAAGCAACACTCAACTGGATTCGGAAATAAAAACACAGAGCACTTCAAAACTGGTGTGACACCAGGCACGGGGTAATTCTGAGGCAGACTCCCTTGGATATATGAAACAATGAGCTGTTGGGTGACCCTGCAGAGCTCTAACATCTGCATAGTAACTTCTACCCAGAAATCATGATGAAAAATGCAGCCCCCAAACACCACCAGTCACTCTGAGCCAGTCTCTGAGATGTTTGTTACCTTGTTATGCAGAGCTTATTTCCAATGTGTACAAAGCATTTTAGAACATATATTTATCCTCCTGCACAATTACTCTTTACTACAATTACAATTAGGATTTTATGTGACTGTTTAGAGGGAAAATGGGTTTTGGCTTAAGCTGTAACACTGTATGAGGAGATAACCTCACAAATTACTCGACCTGAAAAGCAGCCCTGCCCTGCTCTTGGTGCACAGCACTGTGACTCAGATCACTAAAAACCTGAAAACATTCCCACTGTTACTTTTTTAACTTGGCCTGTACCAAACTGTGTAACAGCTGGGAAATCAAAGCAAGAAGCCATTCCACTGCTGCACAGCAAAGCAGCCAGCTGAGCTGGGGAAGTGGTCAGGTCAGTAAATTCTTGGATTGAAGTGTAACTTCTTGGCTTATTTAACCTGCCTGCTACAGACAAGGCAAAGGGCGGGCTTGCTGTATCCAGGAGGGTGCTGCTGAGATGTCCCAAATGAAACCTAATGTGCTCAGATTAATCTTCCAGATTAAGAAGAAATTTCTTGACCCAAAGAGTTTATAATCCAACCTGATGAGAGGGGGCAAAGGTTGGGAAGGAGAGCCTTTGGGGTGAATGAATTTGTAGCACTAAGATCAAGACTCTTCCCACATCCCACCCTTTGACTCACACTGACTGTCCCTTCAGGAACGACCAAACCCTTCTCTGAAATCACTTGCTTTGCACAGTGCAAGGGGCTTACACAACCCTCTGCTGGCTGTCTTAAAAACCCCACATATTGTCATGAATGATGAAAGAGCTCAATATTCTGTTTCTAGGTCAGTGTCACACCCCCGTGGGAGGGAAGGACTGGAGATCAATCAGCATCATGCTGCAGGAGGAAGGAGACTTTGACTGAAGCTGAGCTGGAAACCCCCCGTGCTCTTTGGTATGTAGTGTGGCTTTAGACACAGTGTGTGTGCAGCTGCTGTGGCTGCACAGATGAATTCCTGTGCACGAGAACCCAGCCTGGATGTGGAATGGGAGGAATTCTGCATAGGCTGAGAGTGGGACACTTATGGGAATGGGCTGAGAACTGTGCAGAGGAAAAGGGAGTTTGGTTTTTAAATCGTGTTGCATAGACACTTCATTGCTCCCCCAGTTTTCTTTGCTCACTTGTATGCTCTGGGGAGCACAGGGGTCACTTACATACCTGGACAGTGCCTATCCTGACCTAGGGGTCCACACCTGCAAGACTCAGCTGATAAGCTTCATGAAGTACTTGTTATTAGTAGTATTAGTTCTCTGCTGACTTCAAGCTTTACCTCTTATAGCACTGTAGCTCCTCTTGCACCACGAGAAGCTGAGCTTTCAGCTGGTTCCTCTCTTGCAATACATCTCGGAGCTCCTGTAACGTGAACCGGGGCCGGTTGGGGTCTGTGAGGTCTATCACCATTTGATCTGGTCCAAGGCTGGGCTGTAAAATAAACAGTGGTGGATCTTGTAACCTCTCAAAAAACTCAGCATTCAGAGAGTAAAATATCTGGATTTTATAAATGTGGAATTTTTAGAATTGGTATGAATTCATCACAATCCTGATTTTTTTCGCCCCCCAAGCAGTTAAGTATAGTTCTTCATATTTTTGTATTCCCTTAGTGACTGTGTTCCCCAGCCAAGTATAGGCCAAAAACTGTGACAAGATCTGACCACAGTTAAAAACAGTCTCTGTTCGGAAGAGTTTGCAATTTAGTTGTCAAGATGCTTTTATCAGATTGTTCTCAGATGATGAGTGAGGCTGAACCATCTAATGCCACACCAAAATTCCGTGTCAAAGAAAGGTGAGAACTGAACTCTCCTTTTTTGATTTAAAACCTTTGTAGTAATCAAGACATCAATTTCCCTCACAGGGGGTAACAAAGCCTCAGTGTTTGCAGGCAGTTGTCTCTATGGGGCCGGTGCTGTGCAAGAGCTGAACGCGGTGGGTTTGCACTCTCTGAACTTTGTGCGTGACTGACCCAGCTTTGCTGGGTCACTCACTGCAGCGAAACTGCAGCGAGGAATCCACAGCACTGCGAGCACCCCGAAGGAAAGAGCTTCCAGGCTTTCATGGCCAAAGACGGGAAGTGACTTTGTGAAACTCGTCCGGCTGACACAAAAGATACCACAAGTATCGGCCGGGGCCCGTCTGGTGTGGCTCTGTGTGCTGGGGAAGGAGCCCGTGTCCCGTGTGTCCCGTGTGTCCGGTGTGTCCGGTGTGTCCCGTGTGTCCCGGCCGAGTCCCGCACCCACCTGCGGGGCGCTCCCCCGGGCCGCCGCCCGCAGCTGCTCCAGCTCCCGCCGGAGGCTGTCCCGCTCCCGCCGCAGCTGCTCCTCGGCCACGCTGCTCTCGCTCACCAGCGCCTCCAGCATCTCCAGCACCCTGACGATCCTGAACTGCAGCCGGGCGCGGGCGGCGGGCAGCTGCGGCCCGGCGCGGAGCTGCAGCAGGTCCCGGCCCACCACGGAGGAGATGTCGTAGACATCCGCGGCCGTCAGCTGGAACGGGCTCTTCTCCAGGGCGCTCTCCGGGCCGCCATCCTCCTCCTCATCCTCATCATCCTCCTCCTCCAGCTCCTCCTCCCCGTCCCGGCCCCGCTCCATGCCCGCCGCACCCCGGCGCTCCCTCCCTCCCTCCCTCCCGGCCGGGCCGGGCGGCGCTGCCGGCGGAGCCGCGGGCGGAGCGGCTCCTCCCGCCCCCGGCGCTCCCGTGGCGGCGGCCGCGGCCCCGCGCCGCTTCCCGCCCTGCCCCTTCCCCTGAGGAGGCACCGCCCGCGCTCCGCTGCCGGTAAGGGACGAGGGGCTCTCCGGCAGCCCCGGGAACCGGCACTGAGGCCTTTCCGCAGCGCCACGTCCGCCTCGGCGGCTCCGGGAGCGGGGCGGGAGGACTGCGGGCTCCGGGAGCGGGGAAATGGGCTGAGATCGACCCCGGCGGGAGCGGCTCCGGCTCCTCCGGGCCGGCGTTGATCCGGGAGAGCCGTGTCCAGCCGCGCCGGGCGGGTGAGGGGACAGGCGGCGGCGGGAGCGGGGCTGAGGGGCCTCCTGGGCCGGGCCGGGCCCGCGGGGAAAGGCCGGGGCCCCTCAGGCCGGGGTAGGCCAGGGGAGGATGCGGCTCCCGACACGGCTCTGTCCCGGCATGTGGACTCGAACAACAGCGACACGGCTGGTTTATTTTCGTGTGCCACACTTTGGGGGATTTTCGGATGAACACAGTGTAGCGGTGCTGGAAGCGATTCTTGGCGGGCTGTTCTGAGCCTGTGCCGTGTGCGTTCTCCCCCACTAGACAATGGCTGACTGGGCCCCCATAGCGAAGGAGTACGACCCCCTCAAGGCTGGCAGCATCGATGGCACGGACGAGGAGCCCCACGACCGGGCCATATGGCGGGCGATGCTGGCGCGGTACGCACCCAACAAGGGCGTCACGGGAGATCCTCACCTCACCCTCTTCGTGGCGAGGCTCAATCTTCAGACCACAGAAGAGAAGTTAAAGGAGGTTTTTTCCCGCTATGGAGACATCAGAAAGATCCGTCTGGTCCGAGACCTGGTCACGGGATTTTCCAAGGGTTATGCGTTTATTGAGTACAAAGAGGAGCGTGCGCTGCTGAAGGCCCACAGAGATGCCAACAGGCTGGTCATCGACCAACATGAGATCTTTGTAGACTTTGAACTGGAAAGAACTCTCAAAGGATGGATTCCCCGGAGGCTTGGGGGTGGGTTTGGAGGCAAAAAAGAATCCGGGCAGCTGCGGTTCGGAGGACGGGACAGACCTTTCCGAAAGCCTATCAATTTGCCAAACATGAAGAATGATTTCTATGGAGAAGGATCATCAGAGAAAAGAAACTGGTCTCGTGAGGGAACGAGGGACTGGAGAACGAGGGACCGGGACCATGAGAGGAGCAGGGACAAACGCTGGCCAGAAAGGGAGAGGTCGTGGGCTTGGGGTGACAGTGAGAGAGACTCCAAAGAGGAGAGGAGCAGGGGGAGGGAAAGGAAGGACAGAGACAGGAAGGACAGGGATAGAGACCGGAGCAGGGACAGAGATACAAAGAAGCAGAGAGATGATGATAAGCACCGATAGGTGACCGTGCCTTGTCCTTGGGGTGTGTGACCTACCCTTATGGCAGCTCGGGGCTGTGACAGCATTCCCAGAACAAGCTGTGGTGTTGCACCTTGTGCCTGTGACTCTGCTGCCTGCAGCTGTCCATGGTTTGGTTCCTACTGCAGTTCGGATGTGTGTTGGATTGTTCTTTAGAGAAAATAAACATTTGTATTATTGTTTTTGAACTGGTGACTGCTGTAAGAAATGCACCGTGTGTACAGGCATCCCCCTGAGCTGAGCACACACTTTGTCTGGCTGCCTGGGTGAGGAGTTATCCGTGTGCCAGATGTCCACATGTTTGTTAGGAAACAGTCCCTTGCTGGAGACACAGGAATGGGATAGCAACAAACTTCTGAAACTTCTGTGCCCCACAACAGAAGCTGATGGGAAGTGGCTTCATTTTTGTGAAGACACTGGGACAGGCAAGACCTTTATTGATAGTGTCCTTAACTAGTTCTGCCAGGTGAGAGAGAAACGTGGAACCAATCCACTGTCTATGATGTGGGAGGATGAAACTCCTTTGTGCAGAACAATGTGCACCACGGGACAGCAAGCAGGTCAGAAAATGCCTCATGTTCCTGATGAATCCATGGACAGTCACTGGAGGGAGGGTGTCATGGGTAAATGTGGTTGCAGCTGCACCCGCTCTGTCCTCACCCTTCTACACAGGGTTTAAATCCATTCTGGAAACTGGGCTTGCTGCTGGTTGTAGCTGAATGGGGGAAAAAGGGCAAAACATCTTTTTCAGGGCTAGGATGTGTAAATACAGACACACCTCTTCCATTATGGAGCTTACTGTACTTTCTAGAAAAAGTTCTGTCATGTTCTTTGTCATCATAAGCCATTCCTAAATATATCATGTATTTTAAATTGTATTTCATCAGTCTTGGAATGGCTCTGTCCTAAACCTTGTCTGGTTTGAGGCTGTATTTCCATGAAGTTGTACAAAGACAGATCCATAAGCTGCATCCCCAAGAATGGATGGTATTACTTTCCACCAAAAAAAAAAAAAAAGACACAAGTCTTGCAGAAATACGTATTTTTCAGAAATATTTATTAAACTGTTAAAATGATTTACTGCCCAACCAAAAAAAAAATAAACCAACCCAAAAAATGTCAGTGATCCTGCACTTGGCAGGCAGGATTGTTACACCCCTAACCTGCCAGCATCCTGGCCCCTTTTCTAAAAGCAGATTTTCCTTGAATATTGACAAAACAATACACGACAGATCTTCAGTTCTTTACAGAGCTTCCCTCTGTGCCATCCTTCCCGATGGCACTTGGGGTGTGTGAATGCAGCATTGCAAACGTGAGAACCAGTGGGTAATGCCAGCAGGTCAGGAGGAGCTCTGAGGGGTTGAGGTAATGCTGCAGAGATGTGGGGAAGGCTGTCCTGCCTCCTGCAGTTGTTGGTGTTGGCCTGACACAGCCCCGCGCTCCGCTGGACGTGCACCAGGCCTGGAGATTTCCTTTGTGAAGGTCGGGTCTGTGCAGCTCCATTATCCCAGCTCACTGCTCTCAGCTGATTTCCAAAGGGATCTGCTTACTCAGGCCCACGTTCCTGCATTGTTTCTGCTCACTGCATCCCTTCTGAATGAGCCACACGACTCGGGACAGACGCCATGGGGTCGTCCGCAATTTAACTGCCTGATGTGACTGTACTGCACTTTTTGTTTTCTTATATGGAAGTGAAGACAGATCTTGGCAATTTAAGTATCATTAAATTAAGACACTCGCCCCATTTAAGAGTTGCTTTTCACAGGAGGGGAGAAGTGCTGCTGTTTTGAGGATGTTATCAAAGCATAAGCAGGCAAAACCATATCTACCCCATACCCACAGTGGACTCTGATCACCATGTCCCATGTAAGGCCACATGTCCCCCCTGCCCCGAGCTCCAGTGACACCAGAATGGCACAGTAAACACTTTCCCTACCTAGAACACACAGAAGGTCCATGTTGGAATGAAGCAGTTACAGCCAGTAGCAGGACAGCACACAGCGCACCACTGCAGGGAGAGGTTCTACTGCCAGGGTTTTACTACAGATGCTGCTCACACATTAAAAATCCACTCTTGGATCACCCTGTAATAAGAACAACTGGCCTGCATGGAGCCCTCTGGAGTCCTTTGAGAGTTCCTCCTACACTCAGTACCTGGAGTAGTTGGAGCTTTGCTCCAGCCTGAGCTATATTTCTTGTCCTTGGTGCTGCTCCTAAGAGGCTCTGCAGAGCAGGTGAGCAGCTGGGGGTGTGGTGCCAAGAGCAGCTCCCAGCCCCTGGCACCGAGCTGCACATGCAGCTGCCCATGGCCCTGCTGGCACGAGATCCTCCCCATGAGCAGTGGTGTCTGTCATGGACCTTCCCAGCTCATGGCCAAAGCCACAGAGACACTCAGCCCTGTCCTCACACAGAGCCATGGACACATGCACCTTCCCCTTCCTGCTCAGGCTCCTCGTGGAGTGTGTGGAGCAGAGGTGGGGACTGCACTGGCACTGGGTGTCCACAGCTCTGACGCTGTGAGGTTTTAGTGTTGGAAGGACAGCCTCGGTCAGGCCTGGGGTCTCACCAGCTCAGCTGCAAAGCAGATCCAGCCCCAGCCCCTGGGGTCAGCTGCTGGGCTGTCCTGGCAAGTTCAGCCCCGTACAGGGGCTACCCAGACATCTGCCATCAGCACAGGAGCAGCTTCACACAGAATTCATGTGCTCTGCCCACGTAGTGTTTAGTCAAGAGAAAAGGCTGGGGTCATGTCTAGGTCAGCGAAATAGTTCATGTCAGCCAGCTGAGGATGTGTTTCCCTCTGAAGCTGGGAAGTTTTACCTAGACAGGAAAAAGTGTGACTTAATTAAAAACCTGTCTGTGGGAAAGGTCTAATTCTTTTACAGCAGCTGCCTGCTACACTGTGAGGAAGTCCCTGGTAAGAAGGGAAAAAAATTCAAGAGTTAGGGTTCCTCCCTGTAAGCAACTTGTTTTCCATGAATACTGCAGAACACAAGGCACGCTCACCTCATACATCGGCTCTTCATGCTTGAGGCACTATAAGCACAAGGGAAATGTGCACTCACTGTTCCTCTCGAGGCTACTCCAGCTATCACTGTGTCAGGTGCCTTTCCAAGGGGTGACTCTGCAAGATGCCAATGCCAGCGGCACTGACAGGGCACAGCAGAGCTGTGGGCTTGCCACCAAGGGCGTCCAGCTGTCGTATCCCTCTTGAAAAAAATTCTTACAGAAATAAAAAGCAAACAACCAGTAGTGTTAACAAACAGGGTAGAAGAGTCGTTGCCCTGTACTAGATATACACTGCAAACAAACTTCTAATAATGGCACAGGTCCTTTTTTGGTTTAAAGAAGCTTGTGTTACTGTAGTTAATGCATGAACAAGATCGTGGACTTGTTATTCAGCTCAAAACAAGTCATCTAGAAGCTTCCATGTCCCAGGGTGTCAGCAACTGTTACTACAAAGCTTGGGTTCCTGTTTGCAGGAAACAGTCACCAAGTGAACAGTGAGGGATCCCTTTTGGAGTCTGAAATAAGCCCCGAGGTGTGCAAGGCAAGTAAAGTGACAAGCTGCCGCGACGCTTTACAGAAGCTTCTTGTTACGAGG